TAAATTGATATTGGATGTAATATGTTGATCATTCCTTGAAATGTAGTCCATTTAATTACCTTGTGAGCATGCTACAACTTGTTATAGAATTAGTACTTGTAGCCTCTAAAGATGGTAATTTGACTTAGCATGATAGGTGATATCATTGTCTTGAATAGCTCGTTTAAATATATCTTGTGTAGGTATATAACTTGTTAGAATATTACAATTACTTACCTTGAGAGCTTGTTACTAAATTGTAACTTATTTAGTACTTGTGGCTTAGGATGGTAATGTGGTTCAATTGTTATAAAATATTCTTACTTTGTGTATAAATTGCATAATGAAGACTTGACACGTCATATGTTAACTAGACTTGAATTCTAGGACATGGTTTGTGTAGATTCAACCTTACTTGTGCATGTAAATTGATTCTTAGACATTATTTGAAATGCATAAGTTTGGTTTAACTTATTGATTTTGCATTAGTTTTGAACTTTTTGATTTTGGAGGCTTGTAAGGATCATGTTCATGTGATGGCTAGGGTTTGGCCCTAGTATGGATTTGTGAGTTTCCCAAGTCATATGAAGTGCGTAGTAGGTAGTACCTTCTGGGTCATAATTACCCAGAATAACTTATACACGCGCGCACTAGGTAGTACCTTGCGGGCTAGTAACCCGGAGTAACTTGATTGGTTTGCAGCCAAGGATCCTAGTCTTTCCACTATTTGATTTCGCATTTAATTTCAAGTTGTTAATCATAGATTACTTGTAGCTTGAGAATTGATGCTTACTTGGGTATTTGAATTTTGTTTAGTATACTTGAAACTGTATACTTGTTTTGTGTATTTAGATCATAATTAGTATACTTGAAACTGTATGCTTGTTTTGTATATTTAGACCTCATTTAGTATACTTGAACTTGTATCCTTGTTAGAGTGTCTAAACTCTATTTAGTATACTTACGCTTAGTATGCTTGTTTTGTGTATTCGGATTTTATTTTAGTATACTTGTGTCATGTATACTTGTCTTGTGCGTAATTGTTTAGCTTAGTATACTTATGTTTGTATACTTGATTTATGAGTACTCTATATGTATATCGAATACTTGTGTAGGTATGTTGGATATTGCTTTTTTCTTGTTTAACATGATTTAGAGTACTTGAACATATATGCTTGTATGTCATGTATCATGTTTTATTACGGTTTAGTGTATTTGAGCATGTATACTTGTATGCCGTTGTTTAATTCAATTGCATGAGTAGCTTAGGATGCTCCTTGAGTCTCATCATGACATAAACGTTAGGTGGCATGAGTCCATTTAACATGTTTTACCTTAAGGTGATATAATTGTAAAATGCTAGGTCGATGCATGCTCATTTCCTACGAGTAGCTTTATGTTACTCACCCACGTGGTGGAGACATTTTTCAGGTACAGGGACCTTGATTTGGGGTGCACACTATGCCATGGAAGTTCATAAACTTGAAGTACCATTTCCATCAAAATGATGGCATGAAACCATATTTGTAGCTTGTATGACAAAACTTGTATTTTTTTGTTTTAAATATGTAATGTGTACATAAGTACACTTTTTGTGAGGTAATTGATATGTATAACATGAGGCCAAAGGCCAAACATGTTTGTAATTGCACTTGTACTCATTTGGTACCATGTTTTATATAAAAATGTATTTTTATCAACTTTAGAAGTTTAGCATGCCAAATTTTGTAAATAAGATGTTATGAGGCCATGGGCCATTGTAGCACGTCTAAAATTTCATATTACACTTGTGTGTATGTTCACATCATCACACATTAGCATATAATGTACATTGATCATGCCATGGGGGATGCAAATGAAACTTAAAGTCTCTTTTCAGTTTTGGTGCATAGTAGGTTCATTCTTTACATTTTTGACCAGTTTCGGTCGACCGGTGGCTTATTTCGGTCGATCGATGCCCTTTAAATTTCAATTGAACAGTGGAAAACTCAATTCCAGTAGCCGTTTTTCATCTTGAGCCACAAACCGGTCAACCGGTTTGTCATTTCGGTTGACCGAACTGAGAGCTCTTTTCTCTTCTTTTCCTGGCTCATTTCAGCAGACCGAAGCTCCATTTCGGTCGACCGAAATAGAGCTGCCTTGTAGGTTTTGTTTGGTTTGTTGCCTAGACAGGTTAACTTCGTTTGTTGTTCCTACAGGACCTTGTTTATCTTGTTTGAGTCATTCTATGGCACACATGGTCTAGTTTGAACTAGATCTTGCTACTTTGGTTGTCATTGGTGCCATAGGGTACCAAGTGACCTTTTCATTCTAGCTATCGCTTTCGGCTATCCCTTTGGGTTCTGTGACCTCATGGAAGGTCATCTTAGGGTCTTAGAGGTGTGTTATGCCTTGAGAGACCATTATCTTGTTTCTTTTGCTTCCGCATTTGGATCCGTTATCGGGTCAATCTTCGGTTCATCACAGGACACTGGGTTTAAAAATCCAGGGTCACGACACTTTACTTTCCAAGTCATCCATCTTCAATTCATTACTTTCAGTCCAGCACTTCAAGTCCTTTCATTTCCAGCCATAAGAAAATCCTGAAGTCCTTTGTTAAAGGCAAAAAGAATCTTTGGAGGTAGTTATTCCAAACCTCTTTTCAGTCACCTGATCTATTCCATTTCCATCTGGAATATAATTTGGACTCTTACTCGGTATTTCCTGGGTTCCTGGCACGTTTGCACTTCCACCAGACCAGCAGAAGAAATTTTTTACAGGCTAAAAGTCGTACTTCTCTTCCTTCCCCTATACTGTTCATATTTTGAGGGATGAAATTTTGTTAGAGAGGAATGATGGCTCATCCATCCTCTCTTTCCTTCACTTCTTGTCTTTTCTTTGCTAAACAAATGAAAATTTGTATCTTCTTTTATATCATCCCTCCACCCCCTCTTCTTTCATTTATACCAAATTAACGATAAAATGAAAAATTATTAGTTTACAGTTCCGATTCCAAGTCCATTAGGACCAAAATGAATCATAGACTATATATATATATATATATATATATATATATATATTAAATATAAGATTACTTACAAGTTAAGTCATACAATTATTCTAAAATGGTGTCGCTAGCTCTCACGTTCCGCAAATGCTATTGCTTTCATTACTGCTCTGTTTGATTCAGATTTTGTCACTTTTGCGCACCCACTCTCATTCTTGCCCTTGCTCAATGTGATTTAGCTTACAAATGCATAAATATATTTTATAAAATAATAAAAATAATTATTAATTTGTTCTCATAATAATGAAAATATTTCTTCGATCTCAAAATAAGTGTTCACATTTTCATTTTTACCCATTTGAAAAGTCAATGTACTATTTTTTATAATATTATTAATTTAACCTTCTTCTATTGAATTTGTAACCACTAGAGATAAATTTGATAAATTTGATAATTTATTTATTATTAATATAATAAAAAATTATCCTTCTAAAAACGTTAAATATCTTTAAAAAAATATTTATTTTGAAACGCAAAAAGTAATTACAAAAAAATGAATCGTGACTCGAAATTAAACTGAATAGGTCTTTCACCTTTCGGTTTGATTTGATTTTAAATCACAATGATTCTGGTTCTTTTTCGATTTCAAATTTTTAAGAATTATTGGGATCGTTAACCGTACTAAATACTACTTAGGATAGTTTGCAAAGTGTGAAGATACTAAATCCTATCCTATCCTAATCGGACGGCTGAAATATAGGGAAGACGTACTCCGCAGTGTGACCACCAATACAGCACAGGACAGCCCGAGACACGCGAAAGCCGCGAAGCGACATAATTGGTCAGACTGCCAACACTGGGACTGGTGGGTCATAGTCGTACAGGAGTACAGCTAACCTTACCCATTTGAACACTACAATGCCCTTTTGTGAAAGACCCCCATTCACTCACTCCCCTCATTCAACTCATAACCATGGTTAGCTTTAGCCACCCTCTTACCTCTGGAAATAAATGGCATGCTCTCTCTTCTTTGTGCAAGTGGTCATGTCACCGAGGTGTTCATTCAATAAAAATGCTTTATGTTGGAACTATGGTTTGTTGCATTAATTTGTGACGTATCCATAGGTTGGATTATAATTTTTTTTTAAAAAATTTAATATTATTTTACATCTCAATAAAATGATCAATTTAATTAATTTATATTAATATTCGTCCGTATCTATTATGCCATAACCTTAAACAATACCGCGACGGTGAATTATAGTTGAAACATTTTTTTTGACCTGAGACAAATTTCATTGAATTGCACACTTTTATTAAAGAGACAATACTAATGATCCAATACACTTGACTCACCTAATATTTTCTCTTTGCCTAAATAGAAACTGCCATTTAAAGTAGTCCTAAAAGGTGTCAAAACAAAATCGCTAAACAGGGACGAATCTAGGAATTCATATGAGGGGGGACAAATTTCTATAGAGGAGTGTTTTTCATAATTTTAGTGGGGGCATTTTTAAAATTTTATGGGTATAAATACGAAAAAATATAAATTTAAAAATATAAAATATAATAATAAAAAATTTTAGTAAGAGCAAATGTCCCCACTTAACCATTCACAAATCCGTGCCTGCGCCCAAGAAAACTTAACACTAATCAGACACGGATCTTCACAGTCAACCGTTTTTTTGTGTTATTGTTGTTAAAGGCAGCTTCTCTTTACCTAATATTCTGAATACGTCCTGCATATAATGGTTTTCTCAACTTATCCTATTGCCTATGTGATATTTTGGTGAATTAATCATATCATCTTTTGTGTTTTTATTTTCCTGTTTGATTGATGGTTTCCTTAACCAATCAAGTGAGCAAAAATTGTAAATGCACGTGTGTTTCTTTAAATTTTTTAAAAAAAGAAAAAGAGAAATCTTAACCATGGTTAGATTTAGCCACCCTTTACCCTTGTGTGTGTGCCGCTAATGCAATACAGTATATACACGGTCTTATTGCTTCTTATATCACTCCCTTTCGACCTCATTTCCTCTTCCTTGTCTTTTCTACTGCAAAGCAACCACAAATATATATATATATATATATATAATAGAAATTGATGGATGGATAAGTAAAGAAAGAAAAGGAAAGGTGTGCCAAGTGACTTTTGTGCTTCTAGGTATTGTTGGTTCCGTTCAATCGGAGGCAAGCTAGCTTATTACAGTATTATTGAGCTTTGGATTTAAAGAGTGATGATTTTAATTAGTGGTTTATTTGGAATATATCGATATTGGTGAAAAGATATTATAGTCAAGAGTTCTATAGTATAGGCTTAATTGTTTATATTGACAAATATATATATACATGTAGAGAGAGAGAGAGAGTGTGAAAGAGGGAGAGGAGAGCTCTAGTATTCTTGTTTGTGTTCAAGAAAAAAAAAATATATATATATAGAGAGAGAGAGAGAGAGGTTGAGGAGGGAAAGGAGAGTTCTAGTATTCTTGTTTGTGTTCAAGAAAATATATATATATATATAGAGAGAGAGAGAGAGGGAGAGGGAGAGGAGAGTTCTAGTATTCTTGTTTGTGTATATATATATTTTTATATATATGTATAGAGAGAAATTGGTTATTGATTTAGGGGTTGAGAAAGAGAAGTGAAAGATCAAAAACCCTTAGAAGGATTTGATTTTTCTGAGTTGTTTTTGTTTTTGTTTTTTTTTTTTTTTTAAATTTTTCTGGATTTGGGTCATTGGGTATTAATTGGTGAATAATCGATTATCAAGAGGTTGTTTGGTGGATAAGAAAATTGATGGGAAAGAAGAAGATAGTGAAGAAAACAAAGGAACTATCAGTAGCAATAGCAGAATCATCGTCAATAGGTACCGAAGAACCCCAGCAAACTCCTAGAAAAAGAGGCAGACCTCGCAAAATCATTGAGAAGTCTGATCAGAGCGAAGAGAATATTAAAGAAGAAGAAAAAGAAGTCATCGTCGAGAGCGAATCAAAGAAAGCCAAGACAACAATAGAAGATGAAGAAGAAGAGGAACAAGAAAAGCTGAAACAAGTGGCAACAACAACATCACCGTCCATGGCCATGGGGGTTACAAAGAAGGAACAGCCTCCAAGAAGCAGAGCTAGGCGCAAAAGCAAGCCCAGAAAAAGCAGCTGATTTAAGGTGATTTAATTAAACCCTTTTTTTTTTTGGTGGGTAAGTCAAAGAATAGAAGATCAAAAGATGGATTGTTTTGTTTCCTTCTATTGCTTTTTTTTTTGTTTTTGTTTTTTTTTTTTTTTTGGGGTACTTTGTGCTAAATATTTTATTTCTGGAGTTATATTTTCTCAGCTTTTTATTTTATCAATCTCTCTTGCTATGCAGAGAGGGAGAGGAAATATATTAAATGCAAAAAATTGATGGGTGAAGAAAATATTGAAAAAAAAAAAAAAAACAAAACAAAGGAACTATCAGTAGCAATAGTAGAATCATCATCATCATCAATGGACAAGCTCTGATCTTGATTGCAGTGATATTGCTTATTATATTGTCTATATCATCGAATCATTATCTGTAATGGCAAATAAAGTTTTATTTTTATTTTATTTTATTTTATTTTTTCATGGCAAAGAAATTTTCAACAATTTAAGAAGAGACTAGTTTTCTTTATTCACACACACAAATATATATGTGTGTATATATATATATATATATATATATATATATATATATAAACCCTTAAAATCAAAACTGAACACTATTTACCAACTATTTATCCATCATCATTCTAGAACACAAGTATGAATTTAATCCCCTTTTTTTTTTAGATATACATATCTATATCTATATCTATATATATATATATATATATGTATATATATATATATATGTATTTGAGTTGGATGAGAGAGACTAATGAATTAAATGTGGGTTGGGAAGAAAATGGGAGATGTGTTAGGAAGGAAGACGTGTGACTATTGCTGACAGTGCCAGCTCTGAGGCCATTGCGTTACATAAATACTGGGTCGTGTCGATGTGGGTAAATCGACAGGATACTAACAGCACTCTAATAAAAGAGAGAACTTTGCATATATCATCACTTCTTGGGCTTACTAATGTAGGGAAAGAAGAATAGAGAACAGGGGAAGGTAAAAAGAAAAGAGAGGGAATAAATTTTAACAATAATCTCAACATCAATATCAATATTTGAAAAAAAGTCTCACAATGTATTCATCATCTATATATATATATATATATAGGTATAAAATCCTAAATAGTGAAAGAGAGTCAAATATAAAAATTTGGAAATATAAATCCTAAATAAATAAGAAAAGTTAAATATAAAATAAAACAGGTAAATCTTAAATCATCGTTTGCGTCTATACCTAAAGTAAGTGCGTAGGTCAATCGGCTCGGGATCCCCAGTAAGTCTCTCCCGTTGAGAAGAACTCTCATTCGGAGAGTAAAGATCGTGATACTGCTCCGAAAGATGGAAGATGCAGATTCAGGGAAGTTCAACTCGAAGGCAATGAGTGTGATTCGATTGATGTTGGCTGATGATATTGTGTATGATGTGATAGAAGAAGATTCAGCAACTAACATGTGAAAGAAGTTACGGAATTTATATATGGGAAAGAATATCACCAATCGGTTAGTCTTGAAGCAAGAGTTGTATTCCTTTAGGAGAAAAGAAGGGGTAAACCTATAAGAACATCTTGATGAGTTTAACAAAATTTTTTGTGATTTATCTAATGTTGATGTCAAGTTAAGTGATGAGAATAAAACATTAACATCGGTACGCTCTACTCATAAGCATGTATTTAATATTTTGCTTTATGGGAGGGATATCATATTGGTGGAATAAGTTCAGAGTGCTTTGTTCTTTAATGAAAAGTTAGATGAAGAAGAAAATTGTGATGCTCAGGCTCAAGTTCTTATTGTTCAAGAGAATAAGAGATTTGGAGCTTTAAGAAACCTTGTGCCATTATCAGAGAAAAGATGTTACCATATTCAGTGGTATTGTCCGGAAAGAAAGAAGAGTGCATTCGCTGCTACTGTTCCGGAGAGTGCATCCGCTGTTACTGTTTTGTCTGGGGATACGAAAGAATTGAGTGATAATGACGAAGTGTCAATCATTGATAGCAAGGGAGAAGCTAATGAGTGGATACTTGATCATAACGAGTGGTTTGCAATCTACAAACCTGTAAGTGGTAAGGTATTTATGGGGAATAATGCTTCTTGTGATGTTATGGGAATTTGAACAATCAAGACAACGAATGGTTTGGCAAGAACTCTAACGAATGTACGTTATATTACAAGTGTTAGAAAGAATGTCATCTCTGTGGGAGCATTGAATTCTAAAGGGGGTTCGCCCGTGGACATAGGTAATTTGTTGAATCATGTAAATCTTGTTTTGCTTGTGTGCGCTTTTATCTATTTTATTTGCCAGTAGTGTGTGCGATCCTAACATAAAGGAATTAGGTCGAAGGTTGGTGAGGGGAAAAACCATAAACAATTTTAAAAGGGCTCTTACTAGTATCTATTCACTGAACTATTATATGCAAATTCAGTTGTAGGTAACAACAAATCTCAATCCCATATACCCGACACTCTCGAACTAGACACCTAAGTAAGTCTCATAAACTTCTATTAACAACCTCGGTCTGACAATTAGTTTGGGGGTCAAAAGCAGAGGAGAATTTCAAATTAGTCCCAAAAAGTTTCCAATGTGTTTTCCAAAAGTAACTCACAAACTTGACATCCCTATCAAACACAAAGGAAATGCGTAATCCATGGAGCCTAACAATTTTCCCAAAGAACAATTTAGCCACATGTGAAACATCAAGTGTCTTGCTATAAGGAATGAAGTAAGCCATTTTATAAAACCTAAGCATAATAATTAAAATTAAATCATGTCCTCCAGTAGTCTTAGGCAACCCTAGAACAAAATCCATGCTAAGATCTCTCCATGTTCTGTGCGGGATAGAGAAAGGGCTATATAATCCAGTGTTCCTCTTCCTAGCTTTAGCCAACTGGCATGTGTGACTCTGAGAAATGATTTTACCAACGTCACCCTTTAAAGAAGGCCACAAAAGTTTGTCCTCTACTAGGGAAATTGTCTCATCTCTTCCAAAGTGATTAGCAATTCCTCTTGCATGTAACTCCCAGACTAAGAAGTCTCTAATTGAAGTGCAAGGAATGCAAAGTCTAAAGCCTCGGAATAGATGAAATGGATGGGGAGGAAGAGGTGGATCCGGTTGAGAAGTGGATGTGGAAGTAGTAGTACGCTGCCTTTGTCTGGTATGGAGGAGGAAGATGATCCATGAGATCCCTCGGCTGCCTACTCCTCTGCTCTCTGCTGTGCTCGGAGCGTTTTTGGCTCTCTATTTTTCCAACTCTTCAGTCAAGCATTGTAAGTCTTCGTCCATTGCTTGGTACTATACTGTGATACCCCCGGATTTCCGAATGCGGGTTGTGTGATACCCCCGGATTTCTAGATGTGGGTTGACCAGACCCACGCCCGAATACCCGAGGATATAAAAAACAAATGACAATAATCGAACACAGAATACAAATATGATAAATAGGAATAAATAAAATTGCTGAAAGAAAACTAAACGATAATCCATTAATGAAAACTTTAGAATAAATTTTTATAAATAAAAAAATATTTTGGTACATCCAATCCTCCATTACTAAAACAACTCAGGAATCCATATTATGTGGACTCTTAGAAAATCACAACTGAACAAGTGACTACATTAGAACCCTGAAACATAAAAAAAAAAAACTTATATGTAAATAATCCGGAAGAGTGAAGTAAACGATCCCTGCTTAGCACGAACAATCCCTACTCCTGACGAATACCTGAAAAATAATGATGGGTCAGGCAAACAAACAAGTTTTACTTTACTACAGTCCAAGCAGAGACCGATACGCAGATACATCCTAGATAACCTCAACAATAGTTATATAGTCCATATATATATATATATATATATATATATATTCACACTAAATGACTCTCACTGGACTACAAAGGGGGTCTTAACCTGAATAGAAGGCAACATGCAAAATGTACCTGAAGTGGGCATGAGTACTTAAGCCTAAAAGGGTATACCTCAACCTATCATAGTTAGTCATGCATCCCACTGCATATACGCTTCCTAACCATTGACTTTGAGACTCAAACTCATATCACGGTACTATAATTATATATAAATTCCATCCAAAACCAATTTAGTGTCGTTCAAGTGTTCGTTGCCAAGACACGACATTTAATTAGGATTTAAATGTTATAATTAAATCTATTTTCTTAATCCAGAATAGGTGGGAGTTAGCGTTTTAATCTAATCCGTACCTAATATGCTACTGTCCCATACCGGTGCATATAATCCTTAAAATCCATATAATTGATAAAACAGGTAAAACAGTTCAATAATTAAAATCTAGAATAGGTAGGAGTTAGCGTTTTGATCTAATCCGTACCTAAGATGCCACCGTCCCATACTAGTGCATATAAACTACAAAAATTCATATAATTGATAGAAACAGAATTAAACAATTCATCAATTATAGTCAAGAACATGTATAATAAAAATCTGATATGTATATAATCATATTATGCATCCATTACAAGATTTAAAAAAAATCATGTCACAGTCTTTTAAATTGCTAAACTAATATTAAGCAATTAAATCATCTATATCTATTAACAACATGTTAATTTTTAAAATTTCATATTGTTCTAACCAATAGGGTATTATGCATCCAATTTAAAATCAGATCATAATCACAGTCATTAGATTGCTAAAATAATATTTAAGCAATTAAATTCTCCTCATCCAATAACAATATGTAAACTTGTGTAAAATTTCATATTGTTTCAATCACTAACATATAGATTGAATTATGCATTACAGGGTTTTAATATACCACGAAACATTATTTAGAACCCTCATTATTAACCCAAAATAGTCAAGGAAACCCAAATCATCCAAACAGTGCCCAAAGTACCTTCAGTACACATCAAAACAAGGGAGCCTGCTCACAGAAATTGAGAGTAGGCTCAATCCACACATGGAGCCGGCTCTATACAAGAGGGAGCCGGCTCCCCATCACTTGGAGCTGGCTCTTCACAAGAGGGAGCCGACTCCCACTTCCATGGAGCCGGCTCTCTCCCCCTCTAAGAGCCCTAACCCAAATTTTACTTGTTCTACTCCTTCGTTCCCGTCTTGGGCAAGATTAAACACCTCTGTAACTTTTTAATAGGTTTCCTAGGAGTTCAATTTATGCCCGAATTTATTCCAGAACAATTAAAAACACAGTATGCTTCATAAACAATAATTCAGAGTGCATAGAACGAAACAATTTATATGATAACTAATTTCAATTCATAGCAAACAATATAGTTAAAACTCTGAATTAATAAACATGCAGGTTCCGTTTTACAGTCTAATTTAG